GTCTGAAAACAAGATCAAAAAGACTTTTTGGCTGATATAAGGTTTTAAAACTTGGTTAGGTGGACAGTTTTTGCAGTGCCGATTTTAAAGCAGGAATCTGAAAATATAATTAGATCATTTTGACCAAATTTGCTTTAATCCTCATTTTGATATGATGGCTCATAAATAAGTTGTTCTTCACTCACTTGAATAAAAGCGTTTGGCTCGTTTTCTTGTGAAAACCAAAGAATCAGCTGCGTTAACTCCAGTTAAACCATCGTTAAGTGTTTTCCTCTGTAATACTGACGTCAGAGCTCCTGCTCGTCTGAGCTGTGCTCAAATATCCGTCTTTGAGTGGACTGATTGCTTTCATGCTGACAAGTAAATATCTGTTCAAGTATCTTTAGGTCTCTTTAACCACATCCTGGTTTTGTGCATTTTTAGTTTATTACGTAGTCACGATTGTTTGATTAGATCTAATTTGATATAATCATTTCAGCTGTGATCTGTACAGTTTCTATCATTTCTTCCAGCTGGACCTGGTGTCTGAGCCCCCTTCTTGGTGCGGCAGCAGCTTTGGGTGATGGAAGGAGAGGGAAGCTGCTGACTCTCTGCTCGTTCATCAGGTCTCTAAAGCGGAGGGTCTTACCCCGAGCGGAGGTTTCACCGAGACGAGMGGGGGCTGCGTGTGTCCCTGACATGTCCCGGGGGTGTCCCTGCCGCTCTGCTGGCCCACAGCAGGCAGGCTTTGGCACTGGGTTGGCTTCCTCTGGTTTCTGTGGTGCTCGGAGGGCGTGGTGGACGAGATGGAGCAGTCCTGCGTGGCCGGACCGCACTTCCTGTTGGGCGCGGGGCCGGAGCTTTTGTCCTCCCYCCCGGCGGCCTCGTGCGACGGGCAGGTTTTGCGCGGGGACGGGATGGGGGCCACGTGCACCCACGTCTCCCTGGGCTCGGAGCTCGGGGCCGGCCTGTACGCTGACGGGGCGTCCTCAACGCCGCTTCCTTCGGCCGGGGGCGGAGCAGAGGGGGGCCGGTCCCGTTCGTCCCGGCTGTGCTTCGGCCTCCTCTCGCCTGCAGCGACGCGAGGACACTTGGGCGCCACGGGGGACGGCGTGGGGGAGTCAGTGCCAGTCCAGCTGAGTCTGCGTTTCTGGAAAAACCCCAACAGGACAGAAAGTAAACGAATGTTTAACCAGCCATCAATTCATTGTTCCATCAGGTAAAGTTATTGAAGATCAATGATTTGATTGATAAATTGTATTTTATCAGTTACGTATCAGGCTCATTAAAACACTTTACCTTCAAACATCCAATTACATTTTATTAAAAGAGAGTTGTTATAATCTGAAGGGGATAAAGATGTTTGTTCAACTTAAAGGGATCCATGATTAAAATATGGATGGAGGACCTCAGTTTAGCTTGTTTGTCGAGCTACCACCGAGCTAATACATATAAGGAAATATAGCGTCAGTGCTAGCACAAAGGCTAACAGGCTAATCTGAGGTTCTTCCATGAAGCAGCTCTGT